TCCTTCCTTCCTTCCTTCCTTCCTTCCTTCCTTCCTTCCTTCTTCTCCTGGCTCTTCAGAGTTCTCTGATTCTGGCAGAATTCTGGAAGAGCCAGGCTGGAGTTCACTTCTGTACTACCTGTAGAGGGGGAAGATTTTTCATTTCATTGTCTCTGTAAACTCCATCTTAAAAAAACAAACAAACAAACAAAAAACACAACAGGAACAAAAAGAACACATCCAGGTAAGTAAAAACGATATTTATGTGAATAGATTCCCCGGCCCAGGGCCCACAGTGCTGAGGTTGCTAACCTGGACATCAAAAGGACACAGGTTATAAAAGGAGATCTTAAGCCGGGCATGGTGGTGTACACCTGTAGTCTCAGCACTTGGGAAGCTGAGGCAGGAGGATCATGATGAGTCCAAGGCCAGGCTGAACTATATAGCGAGACCCTGTCTCAAAGCAAAACAAACACACAAAAACAGAGATTTCATGGTTGGCTGTTGACATACTCAAAATAACTCACGCCCAAATTTTGGAAAAGTACAGTGTGCTGGTAAAATGTGGTTATAAATAGCAAAGTGACCTGGGAAATGGCATCCCCTCTGCCGGATGAGTCACTCAGTTTCTGGACAAAAACACCATCTCGTGTTTTTAAATTTGTTGACTGCTTCAGCCTATCGTGGAGTCCTAGATCAATAAACCAGAGACTTAATTTCTCAGGGAGGAACACTTGTACCAGGACTACTTGAAAATGTCATAGTGTGGGATTTTAGTTTAGTTTAGCGTGGTTTTTTTTTTTTTTTTTTTAGTTTTTTTAGTTTAGCTTGGTTTTTGAGACAGGGTCTCCCTGTAGTCTGGGCTGGTCCTGAGCTCAGTACGGGGCCCAGGCTGGCCTGGAACTCATCGTGATTTTCCTGTCTCAGCCTCCTCAGTGCTGGGATTACACCACCACACCTGACCTGGGATTTTAAATTAGTGTAGCGTGGACTCGAGTTGAGTGTCTGGAGATTTGGGCTCTGGTCCCTGATGCTGGGACAGGGTGACTTTGTGCTGCTCTCGGGGCCTCAGTTTCCCCGCTTACTGTGGGAATATTAACTTTCTCAGGTCTCCGTTGCTCTCCCAGGCACCTTCCCCGCCAGCGCCTGGGGCCGTGTGGGCGGGGCAGTTCGAAGGTGGCGGGGGTGCTTGCGTCTCAGGTTGCACTTGGCCTGTCGGGGAGCAGAGGCTGGGTTGTGGGAGTTTCTGCTGCAGCCATCCCCTCACTGTGCCTGATCCTGATGGGGCCTCGTCAGCGAGGAGGACAGGCAGCTGGTGTCCGCAGCTGGAACTGCCTGGTCGGTCAGGTGCTACTGACCCGGGCGGACACATCCCCGGGGTCTCAGCCCCGCACTGTCTCGTGGGGGTAGCGGCAGGGGCCAGGCGTGAGGACACTTGGGGTTGTCACTGCCAGAGGTGGGGATGCCGCCCAACAGTGCGAAGTGCACAGGACGGTGGCCTGCCACCCAGCACCCCACCTGAAGTGACATGGGGCAGAGGCAGAGAACAAGCCCCATGCGAGGGGGCTGGGTGTGGTGCCACAACCTGTGATCCCACCACTCAGGAGGCTGAGGCAGGAGGATCACTGCAAGTTTGAGGGCAGCCTGAGATACACAGGGAGACCTTGTCTAAAAACATAAAAGAGGGCCAGGGCTATAGCTCAGAGGCACAAGCACCTGCCTGGCAAGAGTAAGGTCCTAAGTTGGATTCCCAGTACCACACACACACAAAAATAAAAACATAAAAGAGACGTCAAAAATGTTTCCTAGGTTACTGCGTTCCCACTGGCATCCAAATGGAGAGTGCTCTGCTCTCTTAAGAGGCTTCCCGTGTCTCTGAGAGCGCTTCCCAGGGACAGTGGCTCCCACCAGCAGCGGCGGGGGGACCCCCTTGGGAGGGGCAAGGCGGAGGAGCCCCCCCTTTTGCTTTCAAAGGTCAAGTATGATGGAACTGAGGCACGGTCAGCTTAGGGCGCCCTGTGACGACTTTGTCTGGCTGCAGGGATCTCCGCCTCCGGGAAGGGGGCTTGGGAAGGGGCCGAGAATGCCCAGGTCAGGAGAGGTGTGCCAAAAATAAAATTTATTGTATGTCTGATGGTGATACAAACAGCAGCTACAAGGTGTCAGAACAGCTGGTGTGCATAAAGGAAGCACAGGTTACGCCCTAGGAGGAGCTCTGCTCCTTTGTGATCTCACAGGAAAAGTCAACATTGTACACTTTTAGGCCTAGCATAGTGGTGTACACCACCAAGCCCTTGGGAAGCTGAGGCAGGAGGATCACTGTGAGTTCAAGGCCAGTCTGGGCTACATAGCAAGACCTTGTTTCAAAAACCAAAACTACATTTTTAGGACCTATCAAGTAGTTGCCATTTATTGGATCCCTGGAGAAGAATTCATTTCTTAAAATGGTGGAGTAAAAATAGCACAGCTCTTCCTTTAGGGTCTGGGAGGCGGGCTGGGGTGAGCAGAGTCACTCTGGCCCGACAGGGTCCCCACCCATGGAGGTGTTTTGGGGTCCTGTGCCGTTGACTCAGCCTGCACCTGCGGCTGGCGGGGCTGAGCGCTTCTGTATACTTGTGCAAATGGGGGAGCCCCCGCAGGAGCGCACGGTGACCCCTCTCTCTTCTCCCCTCAGGAGAATGGCGGACGGCTTCTCGGTGAGTGTTCCTTGTCTTCCCAGCTGCATCCTCCCGCCACCCCGGGGGAGCTTGCGGGCCTGTCTTCCCCTCCCCTTCCTGCTCGCGGCCTCCCTGTCGGCCTCCCTGGTCCAGCGCGGTCTTTGGGCCGCAGCCCTCTTTCCCAGCAGCAGACGTGGGTGGAACCAGGCAACAGTGGCCTCTCACCCCTCCGCGAGCACAGTCAGCCCCCGGAAGAAATTCGTGGCCTGTGGGTGGAGCAGAGCCAGCTCGGGCCAGGAGAAAGTGAAAAATCCCACGAGTAGGGTCCTGCAGTCTAATTTTATTTTCTTTTTTTTGCTTTTTGAGACAGGGTCTCACTATGTAGTTCAGGTGGGCCTTGAACTCACTATGGAACTCAAGGTGATCCGCCTGCCTCAGCCTCCCAAGTGCTAGGATCACAGGCGTGCGCCACCACACCCGGCTCCAGTCTAATTTCAGTCTTTGGAAGTCGAAACCGTTGTTAGGTGGGACAAAGCCGTGCTGATTGAATCTCACCCTCTCACTGTCTTTCTCCAGGGGCTACTTAGTTTGAGGGTGCCGGTTTTCCCCTTGTCTGTCTTCTGTCCTGTGATGGCTGTCGTCTTCCTTTCCAGCTCAACGATGCTTTGTCTGGATCTGGACGCCCGAATCCTCAAGGATGGCCCGGGGCCGGGGGCTACCCAGGGGCTGGCTACCCTGGCGCCTACCCTGGGCAGCCTGCTCCTGGGGCTTACCCTGGACAGATGCCTCCTGGGGGCTTCCCGGGCCAGGCGGCCCCTGGGGCTTATCCTGGCCAGGCACCAGGTGCCTATCCAGGTGCCCCTGCGCCCGGCTCCTACCCTGGGGCCGCGCCCGGCTCCTACCCTGGGGCTCCGCCCAGCTCCTACCCTGGGGCTGCACCCGGAGCCTACCCCAGTGCCAGCCCCTACGGGGCGCCCTCTGGACCGCTGGTAAGATGGGGCCGTCCTCGCATGGGCGTGGGGGTCCAGAGCGCACTCAGGGAGCCCTGGGCTCGAACCCTGCTCCTAGAGCTGCTTCTCAGGGACTGGTCACAAGCATGTGAGCCTGATCGCAGAACATGAGCTCTTGCTGAGCTGTGTCAGGTCTTCTACAGACAGCGGTAAAGCTGCTGTAGTACGAATCAAGCGGAGATCGGAACAGCAAGGGGAGCGTGGGTCGCAGGGCGCACAGCCCACAGAACTGTCCCTTTGTGTCGCGCGCTCGCCACCCCTAAGACGCTGTCACGCGCCCGCTTTGCACATGAGGAAGTGGGTGACGGGAAGTGGGATCCTCTGCCCAGGGTCATCAGGGGAGCTCAGAGAACTCAGGCAGTCTGGTTTTGAAAAGCCATCTGGAGGTAACCTTGTGACCCGAGGGTTGAATTTTTGTGCATGTTAAAATGCATGTTAGTGAGGGACTTCTGGCAAACAGTCCTGAGGGGATCCCCGCGAAGCTCAGTGCCTTGTGGCAGCCGCAAGTGTCTGGGGAGGGGCCAGGAAGGCGGGTGCGGTCCTGAGGGCCAGCGTGAACTCTGCAAATTCGCTTCCGTGTGGACAGGTTGGGAATCCCACGGCCCATTTTCTCCTCTTAGTGGCTTTATTATTTATTCATTCATTCATTCATTCATTCATTGTTTGATTGTCTTTTTGAGACAGGTTCTCCCTGTGCAGTTCAGGCTGGCCTTGAACTCACTTATGTAGCCCAGGCTGGCCCAGAGCTCCCAACAATCCTCCCGCTTCAGCCTCCCCAGTGCTGGGATTACCACACCAGGCTTGGTGGCTTTATTCTTGATTACCACTGTGTGGCTTCGGGGAGGCTTATCTCTGCAGGCTCTGGGCAAGGTGACCTAAACCAGAGCCGCGTCAGATCCGCTGTTAACTGTTAACCAGCTTCAGCGACATCGGTTTTTCTTTTCCCACGCAAATGGGCCTCCTGGCTGACGCTTCTCCTTGTTCCTTTGCAGACTGTGCCCTATGACCTGCCCCTGCCTGGCGGCGTCATGCCGCGCATGCTCATAACGATTGTGGGCACCGTGAAGCCCAACGCCAACAGGTAAAGAGGGTGCCGGGGGCAACCTGGCATGTTTGTTGATTGGCTCTTGTACAGAGGATGATTTCTTGCGCATCTTAATGGGATTTTAAAAACTACACATGTGGAATCTTGGATGTACGATGATGGGGGATCCATCCGTCAACACAGGTCCCTGCATAACTTCTTGAAGCGTCACTCAGGAGCACGTGGTGACATACCCGTGTTCTGTATTTTGCTGTGCACTTTGTCATTTTGTCCTCGAGGCTGAGGCCGGCGAGGAGTGCTGCCACCCGAGGGTAGCCCGCGGCACTCACTTCCCGGGTTTGGCGAAGCCCGAGGCCGCCCGCCGGGCCTGTCCCTGTCCTCTCACAGGCTCCCGAGCACTGAGTGTGGGTCCCCGTCTCCAGGCCGTGCGCACAGCTCACTGAGTCTCAGGAACCCTGCGGGGACCTGTCATGTAGCTCCCCGTGAGTCAGCGGGGGCCACTTCCTTCCCCGGAGAGGCAGCGCTTCCGACCTGCTGACTTACACCACGTAGCCCGGCCTGGCCCGGCTTCCGGTCCCCGTGGCCGTCACCACCCTTCTCTGCGCAGCGCCTGCTTGCACGGACACTTGTGTGACACAGGATTCCCCTCTGCCTGCGCCCCTGGCCGTGTGCCCCCAGCAGAGTGAATGCACCCGCTACTTGATCTGCCCCCTCCTGCGGCCCCAGCACAGAGACATGCAGAATCCTCCAGCAGTGAGGGTGACTGCACGGGAGGCTCAGTGCCAGTAACACAAGATGCAGTCTGAGCCCGTGGCAGTTTACCAGTTCTGGCTGAAATGGGCGATGGTAGTAAACTGAAAAATTGTTGCTTGGTGCTGCAAGTTAGGTTTTTTTTTTTTCCTTTTGGTACCAAGAATCGAACTCAAGATCTCATACTTGCCAGGCAGGTGCTGTGCTGAGCTGTCTCTTCAGCCTTTTTTTTTTTTATCGAGACAGGGTCTCATTATGTAGTTCAGGCTGGCCTCAAACTCATGGTGATCCTCCTGCCTCAGCCTCCAGAGCGCTGGGGTTATAGGCGCGTGCCACCATGCTTGCCTTACCTTATGATATACTGGGTCCAGTGTATTTCTGGCTTGAACCCCTTCAGACTTACCTGCTGTCCATTAATGAGATCTGCTCTTGGAAACCCGTGCTCCTTCAGTCATTTTCCTAACTGGTCTTTGGTTCACAACAGACTGGCCCTAGACTTCAAGCAGGGGAACGACGTGGCCTTCCACTTCAACCCGCGCTTCAACGAGAACAACAGGCGGGTCATCGTGTGCAACACCAAGCAGAACAACGCCTGGGGGCGCGAGGAGCGGCAGCAGGCCTTCCCCTTTGAGATCGGCAAGCAGTTCAAAGTGAGTCAGCGCTGCTCCTACGCAGTGCTTGTGATTTCTCACGGGGGCTCGCTCTAAAAGCCCACATACTTGGAGCATTCTGCTTCAGAGACAGGGGCTGGCCTCAAACTCGGGGACCCTCCTGCCTCAGCCTCCCAAATGCTGGGATTACAGGCATGTGCCACCACGCCCAGGGAAGGTCCCTTTACTTGGATTTTAATCAGATCCACAAATGATAGAGGACGCTGTGAGTTCAGGCTAGCCTGGTCTGAAATTCATGTGCATTTCCTTTTCTTGTTTTTTCCCCTTTTATTTATTTATTTACTGGTGTTTTGAGACAGGGTCTCGCTGCGTAGTTCAGGCTGGCTTTGAACTGTGTGTCCCAGGCTGGCCTTGAACTCACGAGTGTCCTTCTGGCTCAGCCTGCCTCCTGTGCTGGGATGAGTCATCCCTCCCTGGTCCCTCTGGTAAATGGACAGGAATGATGGCTGCACCCTGTGGGCTGTGGTGCTTTGCAACAGGGACACACCGTGCGGTGGCCATGGGAGGTGACAGACAGGCACCGCTCACATGAGGGTTGTGTTTGTGCCTTGCAGATCCAAGTGCTGGTGGAGCCCGACCACTTCAAGGTGGCGGTCAATGACGCCCACCTGCTGCAGTACAGTCACCGGGTGAGAAACTTCACGCAAATCAACAAACTGGGGATTTCTGGCGACATCAACCTCAGCAGCGCGTCGTACACTATGATATAATCCGGAAGGGCAGATGCTCCCGTAAAAAGGATCCAATCCGAACCTTACCTGTTCAAAGGCTTCAGGTTCACTGCGAGGGAAAAGTTTCACATTTTTGCAGCAATATTCTTCTCGTCAGTCACTCATTTAATAAATGTCACATGAAGTCACGTTTCTCTGTCATTTCATCAGAGCAGCTTACTCTCACTAGTGTGCAGTGGAAAAAGAAACACATAGCAATGCTAATACTACAGTAGAGCTTCCTAAGTATCCTATGCCATTTAAGGAAAGAGAAAGTTGCCGGGCGTGGTGGTGCATGCCTGAAATCCCAGCACTCAGGAGGCTGAGGCAGGAGGATCTTTGTGAGTTCGAGACCAGCCTGGGCTACAAAGTGAGCTCAAGGCCAGCCTGAACTGCATAGCGAGACCCTATCTCAAAAAGACAAAAAAAAGTAGCAGGGCCTGGCACCACACACTTATAATCCTGGCACTCTGGGAGGCTGAGGCAGGAGGATTCCAAGTGTTTTTTTTTTTTTTTTGAGGATCCCAAGTTTGAGCCCAATCTGGGCAACTTTAGTAAGACTCAGTCTCAAAAATTGGGCTGAGGATGTGGCTTAACAGAAAGGCCCTGTGTTCAATCTCTAGTACTACCTCTCCAACCAAAAAAGGTAAATACATACTACCCCCATATGCACTATCCCCAAATCCTCTGTCCCAGTTTTCTCACAAGTGCAAGGAAACACCCTCTGATTCCCTCACTGGAGTTAGTGAGAGGAGCAGGAAGCTGACCGGAGCAGTTCCTGTCTGCTGCTGGTTGCTTAGCAGGAGGGAACCTCAGACAGGCGGGATTGGCGGTGTCACGGCAGGAAGTAAAGCGCAGAGCCCTGCAGTCCCTGCTGCTATGGGCTGATCGCTGTGGGTCCCCTGACACGGCCAGGCTCCTTGGCCACACCAGGGGGATGCTTTTGCTGCTGCTAACCACATAGTAAACTTGTTTTCTGAGACAAGGTCTCATTTGTAGCCCAGGCCGGCCTTGAACTTGCAGTGATCCTCCTGCCTCAGCCTCCAGAGTATTGGGAGTACTAGGATTACGGGCGTGCGCCGCCATGCCCAAACTTGACTGCTCAATAACCCATTTTCTCTCTCTAGTTCATTGCTTTCAAATTAGCACTTGATGCCAATGAGACTATCTCCATGGCGTGGTTTTTAGGAAACTTCCGGATGTGTAGACACAACAGGAGCGTCTAGGTTAGGTAGCTTTCAAAAGTTCGTGGTTCCCACTGCCAGTTCTTAGAGCTGTGCCCCGCCTCACCTGTGGCCAGCGAGCCAGAGGTCAATCCCCCTGCAGAGCTGGGCTGCTGTCCTGCCCACCGGCCTATGGAAGAGGTCGCTTCATCCACCATGGTCTCTACAACCCATCTCCTGCGCACTTTGACCTGCAGGCGTAGTGACCTGGGCCTCCCAGGAGGCAGAGTGAAAGGCCAGGGGTCGGCAGGGGTGACGTGGGGGCAGCGCCTGGGGTGGGGTGGGGGAACGGGACAACTGGGCACAGGTGGGGGGTCAGCCGCGGGCTAAGCCAGCGGGGCGTCCGGACTCCGGCGGCGCCGGATGGGGCGGGGTGCTGAGGGCTGTAGACCAGCGGCACCTCCTGGGGTCCTCGCAAGGGATGTGGACAGCACATCTGCCCATGTCTTTCAGCAGCTGCAGATTCCGCACCCAGCTCTGATACTGGCTCCTCTATTCATGACTAAATGGAAGGGTGTGGCTTTGAGGGGAAAAAAGACCTCAGCGCATTTAAAATTACTGGAATTCTGAGCCTGATTCCTTTGTCTACAAAGGCGCACTTTTCTTTTTTGGGCCTCAGTCAGGCCTTGGGCCCCCACGGGCGGGGCGGGGGCTCACTTTTAAAAATGCAGGCTACTGCACTGTTACATAGACACTGTTTGCGTGTGGGGCTGCCAGCTAACGTCTTTAATGAAAGAGAGGAGGTTCGTGTTCTGCTTTCATTGTGTCCAGAGACCTGCCAGCGCCCGCAGCCCAAGAATAAGCCAATAGGGGACCCGGATGTTTACCTCGCCGCAGACACTCCACTTCCGGCCAGCGCCGGCTCTGTTCAGACGGCCCCTCACGAGGGCCAGGCGGCCGGCCCCAGGGAGAGGTGGCCCCAGTGGGCCTGGCCAGCTGAGACTGCCACAGGTGGCCGCTAGGACCTCAAAGGACCCTTCTGGAGGAGCTAGCTCCGAAGACAGAGTGATGGACCTGACGTCACCATCGAGCTATCAACTGGACAATGCTTGGTATTGCCCTGATAACGCGTGAAATAACACAGTTCCTCAATCTTGGGCCTGTTTGAGTCCATTTCTTGTTGAAGAACTCAAAAAAAGCCAGACAGAAAAAAATAATATTCATAAAAGTCAGGGATTTCTTTATTTTTGTCTTTTTGAGACAGGGTCTCGCTACGCAGTTCAGGATGGCCTTGAGCTTACTTCGTAGCCCAGAGTGGTCTCGAACCCTCAAGGATCCTCCTGCCTCAGCTTCCCGAGTGCTGGGATTACAGGCGTGCGCCACCACGCCCAGCTTGTCAGTGCATTCAGGAGTTCAGAGTATAAAAAGAAGCGAATGTTTTGGTCAAAGTTTAAAGAATGTCTATAAGCTCTGCATAAGTGTACTTAGCTCTAATTCTACACATTTTAACACCAAAGAGGCAAGACAAAGTCTACTTTTTATTCTGTGTGCTAAGTGTACAAAACCCCCCGCCCCTCTTGGAAGTATCACGTCTAAAATACACTGGGATGACCGCCCCACATCAAAACATTCTGGGACACTGGCTCAGCGGATTAAATAGAAGCAAAGGCAACCACACATTCTCCAGATTTTAGGAAGCACAACGCCGGCGTTTAAATTCACAAGTCTTCGGGCTGTTCCGCCGCCAGGGGACGGAGCGGGGAGAAGGAGATCAGGTTCCCGCCGAAGGAGGCCAGGCGGGTCCTCTCCCGGCGTCTCCGCTCTGCCGGGGTGAAGGGGTCGCTGCAGGTCAGGCCCGGCTGCGGAGGAAGTCAGAGGTCATGAAGCCGCCCCCAGTTTCCCATCACAGTGGACTCAAACCGGTAGCAATTTGCCCCAGCCTAAGACACCCAATAGGGAACGGACAGCGCGCACGCAGACCCTAACCCGTGCGGTGCGACTCAACAGGCCTTTACTTCTGCGAGATCAGTGGCTGTTTCCACCCAAGCTCTCCTTCGGGGTCAATGATGCCACTGAGCAAGCAGTAGTTTGGGCCTAAACAGACAGGTGGATTTGAGCATCTAAATTCCAAGCAGGGTGTGCTGGCCCAGGCCGGTAACCCAGCGCTCTGGGAGGCTGAGGCAGGAGAATCCCAAGTTCAAGCCCAGCCTGGGCAATTAGGAGACCCCGTTTCCCAGAAAGGGCTGGGGACAGAGCTCAGTGCAAAGGCGCTGAATTCAACCCTCAGTACCAAGGGGAGGGAGGCATGTGTGCACTAAAGCCCAAAAGAACTAAATTAGAATATTTAGATCTGGAAAAAATGATGAAGAAGCCAAATTATAAAGATTTATCAAGGAGATAATTATGCACATCATCAGAATCGACCTTCAGACCTGGGAACAGGATTAAGGCGGGTTGTGTAAGTTGCCTTGGGTTGAATCCCACGCTCCTCTTGCTCTCAGATCTGATTAAGAAAGGTCAGGACCAAGACCGACTGTCCGGGGCACAGAGGCACACTTCCGCTCCCAGACGCGGTGGACCCCGAGCAGGGGCCCCAGACGCAGCGCCAGCCCCGCGCCTCCGGGGCCGTCAGAGTCAGGGCTTCAGACTCGGCCTCTCCCGGGCCCCGAGGGCTGTGGCTGGCTCCTGCCCGCGCTAACGGTTTCTCCCATCCTGGAGATGTCAAGGGAAGATGCTCCACGAGAGTGGTCTGCTCTGGCCACACATTAGCGTCGCCTGGTCAAGAAAGATGACCCGGTCCTACCTCGGATCACGGCCATACACAGGTCCGTGAGGAGGGGAAACTAACGCAGGAAACTTAGTAGGAGCTGGGCACGGTGGCACACACCTTATCCCAGCACTCCTGGAGGCTGGGGCAGGAGAGATTCAAGTTCCAGGCTACCTGCCCAGCTCAGGCAACTTGGTGGCTTAGCAAGACAGTCTCAAAATAAAATATAAACAGGGCTGGGGATGTAGCTCAGGTGAGGCCGTGGGTTCCATCCCCCCAAAAGAAAACAAGCCCAGGAAGAGAGAGAGAGCCAACTATTAAATTCACAGCGCGGTGCCCGCTTCAGAGGAGCAATCAGACAGCTAACGGGAATTTACAGTTACTAAGAGAACCGGATTTGAAATTACATTTCAGAAACAGAACCCAGCCCCGGCACTGTAGCGGGGTGCCCCGTGTACCATGCCGTGCCCGTGTGGCTGCTCGTGACCAGGACGGCTCCGCAGATGGAGACGCCGCCGCGCACAGGCCGGAAAGCCCAGCCCCAGGGAGTCCGAGGGCAGCGAGGCCTCGTGCGAGTACTACGGAATGACCCCAAAGCAGGAGGACGAGAGTAACCAAGGACACTGGGGGGCGCCGAGAGGCGGCCCCGAGGCAGCGGGACATTTCTGAAGGCCAAGGCCTTGCTCTCGGCTTTCCTCGGATGGCTCGGAAACGCCTGGTCTAGCCTAGGGCACGTATCGTCCGCCTGGTACCCAGCCTATGTGCCAAGTCAGATGCGATCCTCGAGTCAGACAGGGAAATGAACCGTCCAGGGTTAGCATTAGGACACAGGGCTCCATGGAAACAAAGTTCGCATAAATGGGAGGGGGATGGGAAAGAAGAATTAAGATAGACTATACAGGTACAAACTCCCTACGATGGACGCGGTCAATACACACGACACAGGTGCAAATAAAAAAGTTAAAGCCCACAGTGTCCTTTCGAGTACGTAAGCGCAGGATAATGAATGGGTTTCAAAGTGAGCGACACCAGTGACCAGATGTGAATTTTAAACCTCACACCAGGTGAAAAATAATAATTCACTTTTTAAAACAAATCTAGAACACTAAGGGTTACCAAATTAAGTTGGAAAACTTACTGAATCAAGAAGGTGGTGTTCAGTCGTGAGAGCTTCGGCATCAAATAGTACTGGAAAACAAGAAAAACATCACTTTTAACTTTAAAGACTATTCTCAGACAGAAATGGACAAAGCTTTGACAAAGTTTTTTACACATCAAAGACAAACACACAGGCCATTTTGTGACACAGAGTATATGTATGTGTGTGTGTGTGTGTGTGTGTGTGTGCATATATATATGTATTTTTTTTGCTTGTTTGTTTTCCGGTACCGGAAATCAAACTCATGACCTTGTGCTTGCCAGGCAGGTGCTGTGCCACTGAGCTAAATCCCCAGCCCCGTATATATATATA